TTTTCTGCAGTGGGAGAACTGGCTCCTGGATATCTAAGGAGGTGCTAATCTAGCCTCTGCCTGAGGCTACTCAGCAGAAGCCAGCTGTGAAGCAATGCAAGTTGCCCCGGGGCGTTGAGCCAGCTCCAGTTTGTTAAGTAATTTTCAGATTACAAAGGGCTGGGCCTTTTATATGCAAAAGCCTCAGTGCACTGGCTTGGGTGGGGCGGGATCACAGGGGATCAACAGGGTGGTGGGAGCAGTTATGGCTGCTCTCAGTCCTGCCCTCAGAGGCCCCGGCAATCGCTGCGAGCACCTCCGAGAGAAAGCTGCCCTCGAGTTCCAACTTTTACTTCCGCACCGCACCTCTTCTTAGTCTCAGTATGCTTTTCTCTTTCCTTCTAGTTGTAGAGTTTTCACTCAGCCAGCCTTCCTGTGGCTCTGGATGATGTCTGTTCTGTCTTTTAGTTGTATTTTTGAATTTGTTGTGGGAGGCAGCAATTTCCAGTGTTTACCTGTGCCACCATCTTGGTTTCTCCGTTGGCCTTTCTTCTTATCCCCACCTGAGTTCGCTCTCTCAATAGTCCTTCGTATTCAATTCAGCCTTCCCTCAAAAAGAAAGAGGCTATTTTCTCCTCTCTCAGTTCACATTTTCTCATGAACATATTTTAGTTGTAACAAATGGTACTTAGACAATAACAGTATTGATGTGGCTTTTGTTTTCCATATGTGTCCATTTTACTGACAAGAACATGCTGCTTCCTCACAGTGGTAGAAAAACTTGTTCATTCTATAGTTTCCAAAAGTAAGCAAATCAAGAATAAACTTTCATAAGAATTTAGGAAATTGGTAGGAAGGCTTTTGAAAATTAGTCCAATATTTTCTGACATCTTTGAAATTACTCCTTCAGGTCAGCTTTCAAAATCCCACTCAGTTTATACAAGATCTCTAACATGTATTCACATCTGTGGTCCTTGTTTTGAAAATATAGGCTAAAGAGCCCATGCATGTAATCAGCGAATATGTGGATGAAAATGTAGAAAATGAAAGGAAGAAAGTCTTGGCACAGTCTCCTAAATTGAAGAATAACCCACTGCTTCTCAAAGATCTTGTGAAGGTAAAGTCGTACAGAGACAATATTTCCCTGAGCTTTGTCCCTGCCAAGGATGTATTGGACAAATTCATTGGGCTGCTGTGGGGTCTGTGCATATCCTAGTAAAACAGATGGCTGGAAGGCAGAGTGCTCCTGAGAAACTGTCCACAGGTGACAGTTATAATTGTGGGTGACCCACATCGGTGCTTCAGTACATTGTGATTTTTTAATGTTTTCAGACTTATTATAAGTATCCAGCTGTAAAGGCTGTAAGAAATGTTTCCCTTGTCGTAAAAAAATCTGAATGCTTTGGATTATTTGGATTAAATGGAGCCGGAAAAACCACTGTATTGAAAATGTTAACTGGAGATGAGACCATAAGCTCTGGAGTTGTATTAATTGATGGCATTAGCCTCATTGAAAATATCAGAAAGGTAAGTGTGTTACTAATCACTGAGTTTTGCCCCAAGGGAGGAGGTAACCAGGCAGGTGGGCGGGAGACATGGAAGGGAAGCTGGGAGAATTCAGATATATAAGATGAAAGATAGATAAATGCTAGATAGATAATAGGTACATAGATAGGATAGAGATAGATGGAGATAGAGGTGTGAAGTGATATCTTGTGGTTTTTATTTGCATTTCCCTGATTAGTGATGTTGAGTACCTTTTTGTGGCCACCTATGCATTGTTTTTTGAAAAATGTCTATTCAGATCCTCTGCCCAATTTTCATTCAGATTGTCTGGGAAGAGGTTGCTATTAGATTGTATGAGTTCTTTAAAGATTTTAAATATTAACTTTTTATCAGATATGTGACGTGGAAATATTTTCTCCCACTTAATAGGTTGCTTCTTTCTTTCTTTCTTTCTTCCTTTCTTCCTTCCTTCCTTCCTTCCTTCTTTCCTTCCTTCCTTCCTTCCTTTCTTTCTTTCTGCTCCCTTTCATTTTATCGATGACTTCCTAAGTTGATGTAGTTCAATTTGTTTGTTTTTGTATTCTTTATATATACAAAGATATACATAATATATATCTTATCATTCTTGTCTGTGGGAATATTAGCCTAATAGAAGTTACTTGGCCAATGTTGGAAGTGAAGTTCTATACATTATCTTAATTGACTTAATAGAATGGCTTTGCCTAATGATATCTGAATAGGCAACTTCCTCTAACAAAAATCTCTACACAATAGATGTTTGTTGAAAATTTCAGTTAGGAATGATAGTATGACATTTTACACAGTGAGTTGTTGCTGTAAATATTCTTTAGACTAGAACTCTGTGGGTATCAAAGCTTCTTCACAGCATGGGCTTAGGTTTTTTTAGCTCATCTATGTGAACTGTATGCTCAATGGAACAGTTGACTTGGATCTTTTGCTTATTATTACCATCTTGATTCAGGTTAGGTCAAGAATTGGCTATTGTCCTCAATCTAACCCTTTGCTTAACCACCTGACGGGCTGGGAATTGCTGATCATGTATGCCAGGCTGCAGGGGGTCCCTGAGCCAAATATCTGCAAGTATGTAGAAATCTTTTTGCTTTCAATGCACCTAGAAAACCATGCTGACAAGTTTGTCTACACATACAGGTGAGATATTAGTCTGCCTGCCTGTGTTTCTACTGTTTAGAAAGAATGCCTGCTAACACAAACTGATCCCTCTGTCACACAGAGGCAATGACTATGAATAGCCTCATGTCTTGTCAGGGTTCTAATGTAAGGAATAGGGCAGATAAAGTTAACCTTTTGTAGAGATGAGCTATAGCCTTTGCATTTAAAAAAGAACACCTGCATCCTTATCTCCCTATGGTTCTTTATCTCCCAAAACAAAAATATTACAGCAATAGTGATGCTGAAATAAATTACTAAAAATGCCATTTCAATGAAAATGAGTTACTATATACACCTGGATTTGGGCCTGCTACTTTGTGGTTCATATCAAATCAGCATTCTGGATATGTGAGCTAATTCTGTCCTGGAAATTAATGACTTGTGTACCCTTATTTTTTTCTTTCTCCTCCACTTTTCTCTCTCTTTTGACGATAAAGTAAAGAAAACAAACGTAAATTGAGTATTGTCGTTGCCCTAATGGGAAAGTCCTCAGTTGTCTTCCTGGATGAGCCAGCTTCTGGCATGGACTCCATTGCCAGGCGCCTGCTCTGGGACACAGTAACGTGGATGTGTAAAGCTGGCAAGACTGTCATCGTAACTTCCCACAGGTATGACCTACTGGGACGTTTGGTTGAGAGTTAAGAGAGTATAGGAGGGAATTAGTTGGAGCCGGGAATATAAGTCAATGAACTTATCTAAGTATATGAGCTACATACATAAGAGGAGCTGTGGGTAGAGGCTAATTTGGGCTAAAGTTAAGAATCCTAAATTGAGTTCTGAAATCCAGAAGCAACAGAAAATAGGAAATAAGGTCTTTCTACCATGGATTTAGAAATCAACTGCTTTCAATTTTTAAAATCTTCTCTTCCCAAATATGGTCTTAGTGGTGATGTTCTGCAACACCAAGCTTTCCTACTGCAAATATTACCATAGGGTCTTGCTCTGCTTTGAAATACTGCCCTTATCCTCTGAAAGACAGTCTCTTCAGCCAAATCTTCTTTGTCCCTTAGCATGGAAGAATGTGAGGCCCTTTGTTCCAGGCTGGCAATCATGGTAAACGGGAAGTTCAAGTGCCTCGACAGTCCTCAGCAACTCAAGAACAAGTTTAGTGATATATACACTCTGACAGTAAAGATTAAGATTGATAAGAATGAAAATAAGCAAAAGGAGTTCAAAGAATTCATTGCAACAACATTCCCAGGTAATATAGGTAGGGCTTACTTGTTACAGCTGTGTTAAGTCATATCCTATGTAAAAAAAGCCTAATAGGCTAAGTGTTCAGTCATCCGGTCGGCTGTTCAACCAAAGCATAATATGCTTATGATATGCTAAGGCACTCAACTGCTCGCTATGACATGCACTGACCACCAGGGAGCAGACAGTCTACCAGTCGACCAATTGCTATGATGTGCACTGACCACTAGCAGACAGATGCTCCAACTGGTAGGTTAGCTTGCTGCTGGGGTCCAGCCAATCAGGACTGAGTGAGATGGGCTGGATATACCCTGGAGCCCTCCTGCAGTCCCTCCCCAGCTGGCCAACCTCCCATGTTCTTCCCCAGCCCCAACCGTGCACTAGTGGGGTCCTTCAGCCTGGCCTGCGCCTTCTCACAATCTGGGCTGAGGGACCCTCCCCCTCCAAGTGCACGAATTTTGTGCACTGGGCCTCTAGTATATAATAAAAATAAATGAAGTACAGCTTTACACAATATGAATGAGAGAAAACATAAAATTAATGCAAACTATGTTTTTGCATTTCTATGAAGTACAAAAGTGCAAAACCAAACTATAGGCTTCAGGGTTCCATATTTAGGTAATCTACACTAATAAAAGACAAACATGCAAATTGACCATACCTTCGCTATGTCTTAAGCCACGCCCACCAGCCAATCAGAGCAACTATATGCAAATTAACCCAACCAAGATGGCGGCCAGCAGCCACGGAGCTGGAGAAAGCAGGAGGCTTGGTTGCCCCAATGATGGAAGAAGCCAAGCTTCCCGCCTCTGAGCTCCCGGCTCTGAACTCCACTCAAAGCAACAAAGTTTCAATTATTGAAGGTAAATAAATGCCAGATACCTGCTTTCAGCTGGCCCTGGCCACGGAGCTGGAGAAA